TCAGATAGTCAGTTTCTCTTGAAAAACAGGAAGATCAGCTGGGCGTGGTAGCTCATGCCTGTAATCTCAGCACTTTGGAAGGCTGTGGCAGGTGAATCACCTAAGGTCAGGAGTTCAAGACCAGCCTGGTCAACATGGTGAAACCCTGTCTCTACTAAAAATGTGAAATTAGCGGGTGTGGTGGCATATGCCTGCAATCCAAGCTACTCGGGAGGCTGAGGCAGGAGAATCACTCGAACCCAGGAGGCAGAGGTCCTAGTGAGCTCAGATCACACCATTGTACCCCGTCTCAAAAGAAAAAAAAAAAAGAAAAACAGGAAGGTCTTACATTTTTAAAAAGCTCACATTCTTTCATTGTTAACAGATGAAAGCTTGTACCAACAACCCATTGTAGTATTATTTTTTTACTAATTTATATATTTAAAAATTTTTTATTGGCCGGGCGCGGTGGCTCACGCCTGTAATCCCAGCACTTTGGGAGGCCGAGGCGGGTGGATCACGAGGTCAAGAGATCGAGACCATCCTGGTCAACACGGTGAAACCCCGTCTCTACTAAAACTACAAAAAATCAGCTGGGCGTGGTGGCGCGTGCCTGTAATCCCAGCTACTCGGGAGGCTGAGGCAGGAGAATTGCCTGAACCCAGGAGGCGGAGGTTGCGGTGAGCCGAGATCGCGCCATTGCACTCCAGCCTGGGTAACAAGAGCGAAACTCCGTCTCAAAAAAAATTTATTATAAAAACAAATAATAGTACATAATAGTTGTATGCATTTATGGGGTACCTGTGATATTTTGATACAGGCATATGGTGTGTAATGATAGAATCAGGGTAACTAGGGCTTCCTTCACCCCAAGCATTTGTCATTTCTTTGTGTTAGGAACATTCCAATTCCACACTCAGTTATTTTAAAATATGCCGTAAGTTACTGTTAACAATAGCCATCCTGTTCTGCTACTAAATACTAGATTGTATTCATTTTATTTAACTGTTTAACTGTAACTTTGTACCCATTAACCATCTCTACTTGTCCTCGACTCCCGCCACTATCCTTTCCAACCTCTGGTAACCGTCATTTTACTCTCTATTTCCATGAGTTCATCAGTTAAAATTTTAAACTCCTGTATATGAATGAGAGCATGTGAGATTTGTCTTCCTGTGCTGGCTTATTTCACTTAACATAATGTCCTCCAGTTCCATCCATGTTGTTGCAAATAACAAGATCTCTTTCTTTTTTTTTTTTTTTTTTTTTTTTTTTTTTTTTTT